GATGTTCAGGACTACCATTTACCATCCACCCTGAAATGTTGCACTCAACCAATGGCTTTGCACCTAGTATGACGCGTTCACTGCGCTGTTCACTGATTGGATAATCCTTGCGAGGAAGTCACACCGATGCAAGTGATCGGAGACGGTGTCTTTTGACGTCAAATGTGCAAACGCCTATCGATCAGAGAGAAGCAAAATGTGTTGAAACTGCTGGAATAGCCAGGTGTAACTCAGAGCTCCGTAGTCAAATCACTTGGAATCTCACGAAAAACTGTCTACAATGTTGTATCCCATCGAACGACTATCGGGGAATTTTCGAACACTGGAGCATCTGAGGGAAGATGCCACCTGAAAACCAACGAAAGGTAGTGAATCACGCAACTTTGGCTTGGTTTAATGCTATGAGGGAAAATCACGGCGAGTTCCTACTGATGGAGTTCATCGTACGTAAGAAGGCAATCCAACTGGCACAAAGATTGCATCATAATGACTTCAAGGCTTCCAAAGGTTGGTTTCGCTCCTGGTTAGACAGATGTGGTATTTAATCCTACAAAGTAGGAGACAAACAACTAATGTGCATTACTTTGTAGGTTCGTGGGGAAAGTTTGGAGGTACCACGTGATGCAGCGGAATAGTCCCGAGAGGGGTGACCGCAGTTGATACATGGACATGCTGACTGATATTTTCAATGTAAATGAAACAGCCTCGCATTACAGGCAGCTCCGAGAAAGAACATTAAGTCTGAAAGGAAAGACAGTTTCTGGATCCAAGAAATCCAAAGAGAGGGTCACGTTACTGCTTTGTGGGAGCATGACTAGAGAAACGTCATCACCGTTGGTAATTGGAAAGTTTCAAACTCCACGATGTCCTCAAGTAATAGATAGAAAAACCCCTCCCTCCAGTCATAATTCTTCAAGGAACCCATGGGTGACTTCTGCATTATCTCACAGTAGGCTGTTCCATGTCAACCGCAAGATGATTTTTCAAAGACGCTCTATTTCACTATTTATGGACAACGCCCCTTGCCATAACCAAGCCGCAGTGTTCTGCAATGTCAGATTAATACGGCAGCTTCCAAACTGTTCTTCAATGTTGCAACCAGTGGGTCAGGATGTGATTTGGTATTTAAAATGTTCGTTTTGGAACAAATTACCGCCATATGTTTTGTCTGTGATCGACGATGAACAACTTAGCATGAAATCCGAAGTGAACATCCTCATGGGCATGTATCTGGTCAAGAAAGCTTGAGTGTCTGCGCATCCGCACGTTCTTATCAACGCTTTCATAAATGCTGGGTTCAAATCCACATTGATTCAGCCGATGATGCAGCCACCAGGGGATAAATGCGATTTGATCGAGGGCTTTACTCACTGTGTCTACTGATGACCGTCTTTTGTAGAAGAAATCACCTGTTTGGAATTTGATGATGAAGATGTGGGTTATTTAAAAATTTTGTATCAAGTCTCTTTTCTAGTCGTTAAATTAATTCGTTTCTAATCAAGCTAAGCATCGCAAAGAAGAAGATGAATGTAAGGCAGTGAATGCGCCGGAAGTTATCTCAATCAGAGAAGCGGTGAATTTGTTTGGGTAATACTCGGAGTTTGGGTCAATTATTGGAGTGTACAATTGATTTAAACAGCGCGTTTGTTGATTTCCAAAGGAGGGCCATACTGAAACTGATTTTGCTAAAAATACATCTTTGTAGATGGTGAATGTTTGGATTAGCCCATTCGGTTTTTCACAGGCACCAGGCACTGTTGATGATGTTCGAAGTGGGTGTCACTCCTTGGGAGATCGGTAATTCCCCACTGTTTATTTCATTTTTGTGCGATGAAAATGGTTGTGATAAGCAACAAAGAGCACTGGACAGC